TTGTCTGCTGTCTTAAAGAAAGTGTACGAGACTCCTGAGAAGACTCCAGCCAAGAACCCTTCAAGAAGTCCAGCAAAGTCACCTCAAAGAAGTCCTTCCAAATCAATATGATTGCTATTTACAATATAAATACATTAATGTAGCTATATTATTCCTTTGTAATTGGTTGAGTACAAAATTCTGGGTTATTTTTGGTGAAAACAGGGTATCAGGCCTTGGATCAGGAACCAGTCCCCCATTTATAACATTGTTTCCTATGGGGAAAATCAGTTCTGAGTTACAAAGTTTCGACTTAAGACATCATTTTCAGGAACCAATTGTGTCATAAGTCCAAGGACTGCCTGTATTTGAAAGGAAGGTATGCATCTACAATCAAGCATCTAATGATGCAGTTTTGCACAGTGGGTAAAATGCTTTGCTGATGCTGACTGATGATCAGCAGGGATCTGGGTTTTCCGTTCATCACAGAAAAATGCAGGCTTTCTTATTTTAAGGAGAAAAATGTTGGAAGCAGCGGGTATCCCCTTGCAGGCTGGCAGAGTTCCAGCCTGCTAGGGGCTGGGGGGAACTAAAGGAGGGCAATCAGGCAGGGGGCACCACGTGCACATGGCAGCCAGGCAGCCTGGAGAGCAGCTCCTGTAGGTAAGTCTATTGGACTTACCTACAGGAGCCCACAGCAGCTAACCTCTTCCCCACCCCGCCCTCCTCCCGGGGCTCTGCTCCAGTCAAGCCACCCATAGGGGAGGGGTAGCTGGGCTCCATGCTCCACTCGGGTTACAGCAGCCGCTGCCTCCCACAGGTGGAAGCTAGGACTCGGGCACTGCTGTGGGGTGCACCAGACCTGGGTCCCAGGCTCTGTAGCTCTGGCAGCTGGAGGCCCATTCCAGCAGGGGTGGGGGGCTGTGGGTGGGGAGTAAGGGTGCACAGACCTCCCAAAAGAAATACACTTTTAAGAGAACTTCACACGCTTAACTGCATAGTGTATAAAGTTAAAAGGATTGGTAGTCATTAACCAAATTGGTTTCTCGACTTAATATGGTGGTCTAAAAGCAAAGGTTCATTGTTCAGTGTGGAGGTTTTTTACCATTTTAAACTGTAACTCAAGGTACATGTTATGAAAGAATCTACTTCTCTTAAATAATGAGAGGCATAGTTTGCATTAAGGGAATGGATAGGCTTTCAACTTTTTTGGGTCTGTGTTCCCCAGGAGGCTGGTTGAGAAGGAAGGACTCCCCTGGTGGCCCGTCAACCAGCGGGGGGGGAGGTGAGTCCCCCAGCAGCTGATCAAAGTGGTGGTGGAACAGCAGCGGGGGAAATGGCAGTGGCACCCACTGCCGAGTACCCCCGGAGGCCTTCCCAGAGGCCTTCCCCCCAGGGGTACGAGTACATCCAGTTGAAAACCCCTGGGTTAGACCATAAGTTTGATATAACTTTAAAATTTACCATATATTCAAAAATAGACATATAAAGGTAAATGTGGCTAAAGACTTGATTAAAAGCAATTCTGTAAGTACAGTCATGATTAATGTCTCTTATTTGATGGATTTTTAGAAATCGTCTGTGCAGACCATAGGTGAAGAACAAGTTCAGAATCCTTACACTGAGCTCCTTGTGCTAAGAGGTCATCAAGATATAGTGCGATTTCTAGTGCAGATAGATGAATATCGGTAAGAGATTGTTTTTTCTGATTATTTTACTGCATCCTTGGGAACAGGAAAGTTGTGAAAATTATGAAACGTTTCAATCTACCTCTTTTGCCAGAAACTAAGTGTATATGATTGGATAATCCAGACCTGTATTTTAATACTTCTTTTGGAAGAATGATAGAAACATAGGGCTAGAATGGACCTTCGGAGGTCATCTTGTCCAGCTGTGCAAGGCAGGAATATGCCTGTCCAAACCATTCACTACAAATTCTTGTCTGACCTAGCCTAAAACTACATAAACAACTGTCTCACAACTACACTTTTACAGAATTTGATACTGATCTGCAACTCAGATGGTTCAGTGACACTCAAACTTTTGGTCCTGTGGGCCAGATGAGTGACACGGGGCAGTCTGCAGGTTGGATTGAGCCCTGTGCACCAGGATTGGGCCTGCACACTGGAGTGAGACGCCAGCAGTCCACAATGTCTCCACCTCATGCAGGTGTGGGTCCTGTGCTGCCTCTGCCCAGCCTTGTGCTCTAGGATCTAGCCCTGGGTTCTGGGCCCCAGGCCCTGTGCTGCCCCTGGCACCAGGATCAGGGTCTGTACCTCCCCTGCCTGGCCCCATGCACTGGATCAGGGGCTGTATCACCCTGTGTGCCCTATCTGGCGTGTGGGGCTGTGGCTGCAGGGCTCTCTACAGATCCATAAAAAGCCCCATGGGCTGGATGACATGGCATCAGGAGCCAGATCTGGCTGGCAGGCTGGGGTTGAGCACACCTTGTGTAGTGCATAGGGTATGTTCTTGAGTTCTTTGGTCATATTTCTTAATATCTCTTTGTGCCTTAGGTTCCTATAACATGAGGATAAATACTTCCCTTCATCAGACAGAGGTGGTGTGCTGGTGTTTGTAACTCACGCTGGGATCCTTGAACATTTTCATGCCTCTTTTTTTTGCTTTTCAATTCTTCAGTCATCCTTTTATACCAGTAACCTAAATGCTGTACAGTGCCTTCTGACATTCTACTAAGTCCTGCTTTTAGTTCAGAATTGATTTATCCAGAAATGAATTACTTTTCCTTGTAAATTCTTTCCCATATCTCCGTTTGTTATTATATGGGTACTCCCTTTGACCCGAGCAGTTAACCAGAATTCAGGCTCTCATAGATTATTTCATTTAGGAGGAGAAATTGGTCATGGAATCTGGTTTCTTTGAAGCATTTATTTTTATTTACAAGAATGCAGTCTTGCTTTCTTGAGCATAGGAAGAATCAAACCGCCCTGCTCACAGCTCCACACCTTTTTCAGCCCAAAGCACACTGTCTAAGTTTCCTCCAGGGCTACACATGGATTTTTTCTTAGTCTGGTTCTGAACTCTGGCTTTTTTTCTCCACATGCATTTGTTTTCCTCAACACGTGTAATATGCATGCATACACATTCACCCACTTAACTCTGCATTGCTCTTATAGACATAGGAGTTTTGTGTGTTGGGTATGAAGACTGCTTTTATTTCAGCTGCTTGCTTTCATAAAGGAAGTTAATGATGTTTTACTGTTATCCCAGATAAAAGACAGCAGTTAAATATGCTAATCTCAGTGTGGTTCAACCCAATCCACATTTTTCCACTCTCCTAGACTTTACACACCTTCTCCAACTACTTCTAGTCTTCTGGGAAGCCTTCCCTTTCTGCTATTTTTAATATTGCCCAAATCCATTCATTTATAACTGTAGCAGTGTTGAAATACTAAAGCCTATAATTGTCTGGCTTCTCAGATTCTCACCTTTTCACCACTTTTGTTCTATTCATAATGCTGCTGCCAAAGCTCCCACTTCCCCATCCTACTTCTCCTTTGATTTCTTCTTGCTTCCCTTTTCCACTTGCTGTGCATCTCACAGTCTTTGCTGTTCCCCTTGTTTCCTTTTTTCATTTTCAGCTCTGTGTCTTCATTGATATGGTCCCTAACACTTTCTATTATGACCTCAGTTCTTGTTTATTTGTAAGATAGTCCTGTTTTAACTATTTAGGCTGAAATTTATGCTCTAGGGAAGGGAGTTTTCTAATCCCTAGAAGAATGGTTACAAACCAGATGCAGCATGCTGATTTAGCATGGGCATTTCAAATGCAGAATTATTGAATAAATAAGGCTTGTTGCTGTTAACATTAAAGACCTGGGTTCTGTCCCCAGCTTTGCCTGAAGTGACCTTAGGAAATGTGGAAATACTCGACAGCCTTATTGGGCAGAGATCTAAAGCAGTTGTTGTCATCCAGGGTGCCGCAGCACTCTAGCATGCTTTAAGATTCTTTCAAGGGGTGCCAGAGGGTGCCATACAGTGTTAGCACTGTTAGGTTTGCAAACACAATTTATAAGAGAAACTCAGAGATTCCAAATAGGCATTTGTAGTGTCAAAAACCTTCTGATCTGTTGTGGTCTTCCTGAGTTTCTTGCAACAAAAGAATTGCTCTATTATTTTTTTTGTAGTAAAAAATTGAGTGAAAACTAAGAGGTAGCATTTTCCGAGGGGTACCTTGAGTCTAAAAAGATTGAAAACTACTGATTTAAAATCTTATTCAATAATAATATCACTTATGAAGTGCTTATGTGACGACTGTTTATTGGCTGACATGCCAGTTGAACTGAGGCTTTCCGGTGCTAAACACGTGAGCTAACATATAGCTGGGGGGCTGTAGCAGCCATTTTTAGGTCTGAGACAGGTCGGGGATTAAGATACGTATTTACCAATAGGCTACACATAGGGCATATCTACATGAGACACTTAACTGCACAGTAGCTTAATACTACTGCACAATACAGTGTCATGGCAAAAACCTTGCTAATGCACTACTGCAGAGTAGTATTAGGCTGATGTGTAGTTAGCATCACTATAAAGCCATGCGCTGGAGTTTCTTTGCAGTAGCACCAGTTACTGCACATTGATTTAGTACTTGCTTTTACAGGTTTCCTTTGCTTTATGTGGGTTGTGTATGTGCAAATTCGCTCTTATGCGATTACTCTTTTTATACCAAAAATTCACTAGATGTGAGGTAAATTCACTCTTATGTGATTGGTGTGGTAGAAGCCTGCAGTCAGCTGCTTTGTGTGGTGCATTATGGGAGTGATGCACACCAAAGTAGTCTCTTGTGTAAATCTGTGCTCCTCGCTCATTGTCTGCGACGCATGTTTCTGTAGTTGCCATCCCCATTATGACAGTGCCCTGTGCTTGTGTGTACTGTCTGCTGTTGGTGAGTACAAAAAATTGCCTTGTAAAAGTGGTAGAAATGGGTTTGGGGGTTGGTACAGTTGAGGTCTTGGAACATATCCCTATTTGTTACATTGTAAAGGGGGTTCTCTTATGCGAGTTTGAGTTAGGTGCCGTTTTCCAGGAATGCATGTACAACATAAAGCAAGGGAAACCTGTACAAGTACTAAACTTAATGTGTAGTAACTAAGGTGCATTAATGAATGAGTAGATGTGCCCATAGATATGGAAAATGGCAGAGATGCGATTTTTATGTTATGGCCTCCTGGCTGTTAGTTCAGTGTAGTTCCTCTAGGTTGCAGTTACTTTGTTGTAGAAGTCTTTCTCTCCCTGATGTAGTCTTTGCAGTCTAGCAGCTGGATTCCTCTGTATGTGGGTTGTCCTACAGTTTGAATAGTTTTGCAGTTGTTTAAAAAATTATCAGTTCTGCAAAAGGGCCCACAGAGGCTTCTTGAGATCTCCAATATATATCTTGTAAATTGCTTATATATGGGTTACTTAGCTATTATAGAAAAGATGCATCTATTTCCTTAAGACTTATTTTTCTAAGTAATATAAGAGTAGGCCCCCCAAAAGATTCAAATATATTATCAGATTTTTTCTGGTGAGCTGTGTTGTCTCTATATCACTTCCAGTCTAGTTTTATTAATGTTTCTTCAAAGTACAGTTTTCAGAACACATACACTGTTGATCTACTTATTCTTATAAAACCAGATTTTCAAATAGAAATCCTGCAGCATCCTTTTGTCAGTGCATAGGCACCTGGTAAACCTAAGAAACCTTCCATTATTGGGGGAAAGACATGTTTTCATCATAATTTATCAAAAACACTGATAGAAATAGACAAATAATAATCCATATAAAACCAAATTTTAGATGGTCAGTTTGAAGGCAGGTTAACAAATCACATATGAATAAGAAATATTGCATTAATATCCTGTAGGTGCTTACTGATACTGAGAGTTTGAGCAATTTAGACGAGTTTGCTGCTTTGAATAGTCATTTCAGGGTTTCGTTTAGCATGACTATAGTAGTTTCTGCATTGTTAAACAGCTGATGATATTTTTTCACTTGCTTCTTTCAATAAAATTAGTATTGTTACTCTGTTTCTGCAATGTTTTTATTTAGTTTTTGTAGCTATTCCATTGTGTGTTTTCTGTCAACTGTTGTAAGCCAGGTTTCACGCTTCAGGTCTTTAGATAATATCATCTTATTGAGAATTTTGCAGAAGGATTTTCTTGTTTTCTCGGTGGCTCAGCTAAAACCAGCAAGTGGAAAATTTTCCCAGATTGGTTTTTGAAGATACTAAATAAATCCTGTATCAACCTAAGAGACAGCTGCTTTTTTCTTCTTTTCTTTTGTATTTTTTGAACATGAAGTGAGGGTCATATTGATTGTAAGATCACTAAAGAAGGCTAAGCCTCAGCAAGAGTCTTCCAAAAAATGGGCTGAGATAAAATTGCATGTAATACTCAAGTATTTGACACATTAAACTAAACAGAGTTCATAACACATTTTAAGAATAGCTTTCTTTGTTGCTCATTTGACCATTCCTTGCTCCTCTAGGAAACAGACAAGGTTATAGAGGATGGTGATCATGACTGGAAAAGAATCAGGTGACCCATGAAACTCCAGCTTGGTGAACAAAATATGTCTGTAGGATGGCTGGTTCAACACTATACCTTTATACTTAAAAAGAAATCCTATTTTTAAAAAAACACCCTGTACATCTTCTATTTTGATGAAATACACATGCCTTCTC